TTTCCAATAAAAAATCTTCTTTTTGTTTTTGGATAACCTACCTGATATGACTAGTAGTATACTAGACTACGAATCCAGTTTTGTTCACCAGGCCACCAGGTCTGTGATTGGTTGCCATGAATTATAAAATTCAGAATTAATTTGATTGTAGCTGAGCAAGGGACACATGGCAAGCAAGCAAACACCTGGTGGCAACCACCAGGGGGTCAAACTGGATTCCTAGACTACTAGTATAGATGAAATTTAAGCATTATGATTTGTAAACTCTAATGAATAACTGATGTTTTTAGACTATTTATGAAGCGAAGTATAGGAATTTGCGACGGTTTAACAATGTCTATGCTAAGGGCAATGTCAATGTAAGTTTTTAGCCAAATTTTTAGTAAACTTTTAAGCTTTTAAGTTTTTAGCACTAGCCAATGCATCCTAGGTGGGCTACCTTTTAGTTGTGTCAGTTTTAAGACGACTTGTATATGGAGCCTAAAAACTGACACATGTACTGATCCGTCATTATGAGTGGCGGATGGAAATAAAAATAGGTGATCCACCAGTCTTTGTGGATGATGGACTAAAAAAAAAGTCCACCCCGCCAGTTTTTGTGGAGGGTGGATTGAAAAAGTCAACTGATCCGCCAGAAACTGTAGCGGATCAGTCCATCGGCCAGAAACTGTGGCGGTTCATGTCTTTCTGACGTATTAGTCCATCCGCTAGAAACTGTGGCGGTTAATGTCTTTCTGGCGGATCAGTCCATCCACCAGAAACTATAGTGGTTCATGTCTGACATATTCGTTTTTACACATTCTGCATTGGTTTGTACTAAAAGTTGGTTTTTAAAAATGTAAGTTTTAAGCTCAAAACTACCTAGTGGCACCTGACTTTTGTGCTAAAAGTCTAGGTGTCCACATTGTGCATTGGCATTGCCCTAAAATGCATGTCTGCCATCAAACAAACAATCATTGTCCAAATAAAGCAATATTACTTCAGTTCAAAACGAAATACATACTAATACAAAGTTCTTATTAATAAACTCATACTCTAGATGCACGTCATGTCATCATCATCACCTATCAGGATACAACACATTTGATTCTAGTTCAAACTTCAAAAAGGTCTTTATAAATACAAAAGCTAAAGTTGAAGCCAATCCCGAGCTACCACCAATGTTGTCGTTGTGTTTTACATTTACCCCAGTCGTGACTGCTTACTTCCAGGACGAATGCCATGACCTTCACCATACCCATCACCTAACCTGGTACTCCAAACTGCATTCTTCTTTTCTCTGTTATACCTTTCCTTCATCTTCCTAAGACGACTGCCACCTCTTTTCCTGTCCTGCCATTTATCAATCTTCTTATGAATCATATCCCTCAAAGCCCTTCCATATCTCCCTGCTGGATCTTGTCTACTGTCATCCATTCTTGAAGCAAGTACTGATTTTGCAGCCAATAGTTCCCAAGCTTTCTTTCTTGAAGAAGGAGGTGTGCTTTTAGAAATACGAGTTTGCTCAACAAAGCCTACATGTAATTGGGAGGTTGCAGACGAGAATCCTGCCAGAATCCTTTTTTTCGCTCCAATACCGTAAACAACGTCACAAGTCATATTTGCTAAATCTGATAGACCTCCAGCAGCCCCAATTAGCTTGACGGCAACATCACTCCCAACTATGGCAGAAAGGTTTGGTGCATAATATCCCATTCTGCTCTCAAAAAATTTGAGAATCTTCTTCTTTGCAAAATCAAGAGAAAGGGCCCGGTCGCATGCATCAATTGTTTTCTTAAGGTCTGCTTCAAGAAGTGGTTTCCCGCTAGTAGCTGATGCTGTCATAGAAACAATCATAATAGAATCTCAAGGTAAAAGACCTTCAAGATTAACCAAGCTGATATCTGTTTCGTTCCCAATCTTCTTTACTGTCCTAGCATAATATATTATTTGGGTTACTATATTCTCAAGTTCAGGGAATTTTTCTTGATAAATGTCGCGGATAAAATCGTAAACAACAAGTATTTTACAATTAATTATCAACTGGTATTCTAAAGCCTCATCCCCAAAACTCCACACTTCCTTTTGTGAAGTGCATCTTCAACTTTTCGCATTAAATCCCTATATACTTGTGTTTCCTGCAACTTGGAAACATCATCGAACTCGTCAACAAAGCTCATGGAATCTTCTGAAGTGAATGCCATATTCTCCTGTCAAGAGTGTATTATGCAAGTAGATGATCCAAAAAAGGATTGAAAAAATAAAATAAAAATTGACACAACAACCCATCACGCTTCAAAATCACAAATTTGATTTCACCTCCCCTTTATATATAATAAATATATCAAGTCCTTAACGAACCTAAATTTCTATTTCTAAATGGAAACCAAATCCTATCCAACTTATTGTTTGTGTTGTTCTACTTCTAGTCTTCTATGTGATCATGAGTCCTCCTTCGTCTAGTATACTAGAAGGAAATGTTTGAGCGCAAAGATTGCCTTCAACAAGCAACTTGCAGAAGTCCCTTTCTCTCCTCATCTGCAACCGGCTCAAATATTTTGAAAGGTGGTGTTCTTGCACCATAAAATTTTTCTCCAATAAACAAAGAGCGAGAAGTGCCAGCTAATACAAATGACAAAAGGAAAGGAAAAATAGAACATAATCTCAATTAATGAAAAAATCACTAACTTTGTACTAGGTTTTACGTGAACAAAAATACAAAATGCATATAAACTTCTTTATACTGAAAACTGATATAAAAGTTGAACTATAGCTCAAAACATATTCTGACATTTCACAAGAAAACTCAATCAAATACAAGCACAGATGTGAGAAACGAGGAACAAAATGGACTTGAGGGATTCATTCTGTGAAAACTTTACTGGACTAACTCAAGAGAAAGTAGCTCAGTACAACATTGGACAAGCTTTTAATGAATATTCACTTTCCAGTACCAATTTCTTTAGTAATGTCTCTGTTCAGACTAATTTGCAAAGTATTATGCCATGGGAATAATGTACGAGTAACTGGAAGCTTCCTCCGAAGGTCCTGCATTCCGAGAAAGAAAAGAACTTTCATATAGGTGAGACAAAAACATGTATTTAAATTCATCAAATATGATGATCAGTGGTGAGATGTACTAATAAAATACTACAAAGCTTTCCGAACTATGGTATAATTGATATTAATTAATATGCGATCTAGCTCCTTCTGAAGCATTGTTCATTGATCAATCACAACCTATTGGTTCAACTATTTAAATCACTTTGACAAACCAAAACAAAAGCATTATCGCATTTGCATATTTGAATAGAATATTATTAGGTTCTCTATTTGAAGAAATCAAATAGAATGAGAACAATAAATATGAAAAAGGACTCACACGAGCCCTGCGCAGGTTGTGGGAATGCACAGTATACCAATTGAGGATCTGATACTTATATGGCAAGCTAAAAAGTAAGTGATAAACACAGTAGTAGACTAGTAGCTGCCACTAATACAATCAAAATCCCCTAAAGGTATATGGCTACAGGCTACCAGATGTCTTCCACGGTTCTACTACATCTGCCATTGATCAAACTCATCTCACTGAGAACTAGCTTTGCAAGGATATCCTATGAATCATCTTTGTAACCTTAACAATTGAATGATTTAGGACAACATGAGTTCA